TTAGTAAATTACTCAATAAATTCTCATCATATTACTCAGTAAATTACCGGTAAATTCTCAGTAAAATCCAAGTAAATTCTTAATAAATTACTTAGTAAATTCCCAGTAAATACTCAATACATTCCTAGTAAATTCTCTGAAGATTCCAAGTAAATTCTCAGTAAATTACTGAGTAAATTCTCAGTAAATCTGTCATTAAATTTCATGTAAATTCTCAGTAAATTCCCAGTAAATTACTCAGTACATTTCCAGTAAATTACTTAGTACATTCCTAGTAAATTCTCAGTAAATTCGCAGTAAATTAATTTGTAAATTCCCAGTAAATTTTCAGTAAATTCTCTTTAAATTACTTAGTAAATTCTAATTAAATTACTCAGTAAATTCCCATTAAATTCTCAGTAAATTACTCAGTAAATTCCCATTGAATTTCTCAGTAAATTCTAAGTAAATTACTCAATAAATTCCCAGAAAATTCTCTGCAAATTACTCATTAAATTTCAGTAAATTCTCAGTAAATTACTTAGTAAATTCTCTGAAAATTACTAAGTAAATTCCCTGTTAATTTTTAGTAAATTCCCAGTAAATTCTCATCAAATTACTGAGTAAATTCCCTGTAAATACTCAGTAAATTACTCAATAAATTCCCTTTAAATTCTCAGTAAATTCTGAGGAAATTCGCAGTAAATTACTTAGTAAATTACTAGTAAATACTCAGTAAATTACTCAGAAAAATTCCAAGTAAATTCTTCGTAAATTACTCAGTAAATTCCCCGTAAATTCTCAGTAAATTACTTAGTAAATTCCCGATAAATTCTCAGTAAATTACTAAATAAATTCCTAGTAAATTACTCAGTAAAATCTTAGTAAATTCCCACTAAATTCTTAGTAAATACTCAGTAAATTCCCAGTAAATTACTCAGTAAAAATCCCGATAAATTCTTTATAAATTACTAAGTAAATTTCAAGTAAATTCTAATTAAATTATTCAGTAAATTTCAAGTAAATTCTAATTAAATTACTCAGTAAATTCCAAGTAAATTATTAGTAAATTACTCAACAAATTCTCAATAAATTAATGAGTAAATTCTCATTAAATTACTCAGCAAATTCTTAGCAAATTACTCAATAAATTCCCAGTTAATTCTCAGTAAATTACTGAAAAAATTCCCAGTAAATTACTCCGTAAAATAGTAGTAAATTCTCTGTAAATTCCCAGTAAATACTCTATAAATTCCCAAGAAATTCTTAGTAAGTTCTCATTAAATTACTCAGTAAATTCCCAGCAAATTCCCAGTAAATTACTCAGTAAATTCCTTGAAGATTCCAAGTAAATTCTCAGTAAATTACTGAGTAAATTCTCAGAAAATTACTCAATAAATTACTTAGCAAATTTTCAATAAATTCTTAGTAAATTACTGAGTAAATTCTCAGTAAATCTGTCATTAAATTTCATGTAAATTCTCAGTAAATTCCCAGTAAATTGCTCATTAAATTTCCAGTAAATACTCAATAAATTCCCAGTAAATTACTCAGTAAATTCGCAGTAAATTACTTAATAACTTCCTAGTAAATTATTTGAAAATTACAAAGTAAATTCTTAGTAAATTCCCAGTAAATTTCTGTGTAAATTCTCAGAAAATTACTCAATAAATTACATAGCAAATTTTCAATAAATTCTTAGTAAATTACTGAGTAAATTCTCAGTAAATTGCCAGTAAATTACTCAGTAAATCCCAAGTTAATTCTTAGTAAATTACTCAGTAAATTCCAGTAAATTAGCAGTAAATTCTCTGTAAGTTACTCAATAAATTCTAAGAAAATACTCAGTAAATTACTCAGCAAATTCCCTGTAAATTCTAAGTGATTTACTCAGGAAATTCCCAGAAAATTCTCAGTAAATTACTGAGTAAATTCTGATTAAATTCTCAGTAAATTATTCACTAAATTCCCAGTGAATTACTCCGCAAATTCCCAGTAAATTTTCAGTAAATTACTCAGTAAATTCCCATTAAATTCTCAGTAAATTACTCAGTAAACTCTAAGTAAATTCTCCGTAATTCTCAGTAAATTACTCAGTAAATTCCAAGTAAATACTAAGTAAATTCGCAGTAAATTGTCAGTAAATTCCCATTAAATTCTCCGTAATTACTCAAAAACTTCCCAGTAAATTTTCAGTAAATTCCCAGTAAACTATTCAGAAAATTCTTAGTAAATTACTCAGAAAATTAACAGTAAATTACCCAGTAAATTCTCAGTAAGTAATCAGTAAATTTCCAGTAAATTCTTAGTAAATTCCCAG